ACTCGATGTTGCTGCCATCTTCATTCCCTACTATTGTTCGACATTTCCTGCAGCTATCCTACTACTGCCAACGGTGCCAACACCCTCCCCGTTGTTGTTTGACACTTCCATCATATGTGTTGTTGCCGACAACCCCGCCGACACCTTCCTCACTGCTATTTGGCACTCTCCGCAGTAATGCCTACCCACTCCAACAACCGCAGCCGCCCTACAGCCGCCAACCACCTTCCAACCTTCTTTTAGCAACCACATCTACCTCCCCTCCTGCCACCTCCCTCAATAACAACCCCTCCACTAGAGCCGCCAGCCACCTTCAAGCCTTCTTTCAACCACCACAACAATTTTCCATCAGCCACCAACCCACCGTCCAGCAACATCTGTCATCGTTATCACTCGTAAATATCTTTTATTATTTCTGTTATTTGTGTTTGTTCGTCATTACTTCCTGCTTCTTCAACAGTCATGTTTGTAATTTGTTTGGAATTCAGAAATAATTATTTGTGTTTCTGTAGTGGTTTGGGTTTCATCCGCTATCATCTTGTCTAGTTTAAAACAATGTTGAGAGAGAGAGAAAATATAAGAATTAAAAATCCTCAACCATATCAGTAGAATATAATTGTTCCAAAGCTTTCTTAAAATCAAAGGTCAACTTTTATGTCAATTTTGCTTTAGAACCATTTACCTCTTGCTCAATGTGCGATTCTCGACCAAGGATCCTCCATTTACACCATGAATTAAATGGGGACAAACTTAAATATTCTTGCTCATAAGGGTCATTAACATCATCATGTCTTATTCCATAAATTTGGGGTCAGCTTTATGAATCATCATTCCCTAGTGATTACATGCTAAGTATTGCCTAAGGTGCTAACCACACAACGTGCAAAATTTTTGCCACAACTCCTTCTCATATTACCTTTGATCAACCTCTTTTTCCTCCATAATAATCCTTCAACATTAGTTTCATTGCACAACTTACCATTTCACCATCTATCATTCATTTTACAGAACAAATTTACCAAATAAATTTTCCAGTACATGCCACCATCTATCTAATATAACCATTTCTTAGTCCATAGTTTATAATTTTATCACATATCATCTTAGCAGTCTCGTTTATTCAAAATCCATCTTATATATCAATGATTTCAGTGTATAACTCTGCACACTAGTCAATAGAGTATAGCAAGAAGACCACTTAAGGAATGGTCAACAAATGATGCAATCTATAAACAGAAAACAGGTAGATGTACTATAAGCTCACAACTAGCATTCATCCTCATTAACCAATAAATAAGCACATCAAACTCTGGAGGTTATGACGATTTGTGTTCCAAGTCATCTTTGAATAGTTTGAGACTGGAGTAAAAGTGGTTCAAGATTTTCCAGAAAAAGAAGGAAATTTTTTTCCTCTTTTAATGGTCAAAATTTCAAAATAATTAGTTGCTCATCAACAATATTTCTCAGACCATTATGCACATTACTAAGAGGAGTAAGAAAAGCATGCAATCACCATTGATGAAGTCGAAAATGACTTCCTAATCTTTCCAAGAAAAAAAAAACAATAATTGATTTCTTCTTGTTCTTGTAAAACCAAAAGTGAAGTCGATTTTAACCTACTTTGACCTGTTATGGATGAACTTCATTCTTCCAACCTTTCATAGTTCAAGCGTCTCAAAAGGTTGATTTTTCAACGATTGAAACTGACTAAACCGTGATTGAAGGAAAACAATCATAAAGAGATAACTAATGAAGCTAACCGGGAAATTCCACCAATTTATTGAAGCGGTGAGTGGATCGAAATGGCTAATTGTTATGCCTACAATATTTTACTTATGGTTTTATATATGCATAAAAGGTGACATGAATATGAAGTCTTCAACTAGTCATGGTGTCAGCAATGTATACCACTAAGGCTAACCTCATCTTAGCTACAAGAGCATAGAAATTGTGCATCATGATTGATTTGTCACACAAACCAATATTAAAATAATTGAAACTAAGGGCCGTTAGGGATCACTGTTGTTCTTATTTCAATGTTTGTATTTTTTTTCATTTTTTTTATGTTTTAATTTAAAATAAAACATGTTTGATTAGTTAAAATAAAATAAGGTTGGTTTTGATAAAGCTCAAAATATCTAAAAGTTATTTTATGTGTTTTCAGAAACATGTTAACTTGGTTTTTAAAAACAAGAAAAATTAAAAAACACATTTAAAAAACATGTTTTTCAAAATAAAAGTAGAAAATAAAAACAAAATTGATCATAAATAAAGTCCTAAATATTGTGTATGTATGTGAAATGAACCAAATAACACAATTTGGCTCAGGAATCCACCATTGCAATTGCAAACTAAGCTAGCATACCATTAGTTTATCTTGCTGCTTTTGTTTTCCTTTAGGTCCTCAGCATACATAAATCAAACCAAAATAAAGCGGTTAGTCATACAAAGTTTTCCCTCAAAAGAGTTTGATAGACAAATGGAAGAGAAATAGAAAGGCCTGACAAAAAAATTAATTACTTTATGACCAAAAGAAAAGGTGGTTGAGTGATATCAATGAACAATTCTTATATCATTGTGCATCTCTTCTCATCTATAAAGTTCAATCTAATTGACATGGGTTTCAAGTCACTTGCTATAATACCAAAATCAAAGTTCACAAAAGCTTCAAGCACTGTCAGGAACATGGTTATACAACACCTACGATACAATCGCATAAGTAACATGAAGTGCTAAATTTAAAAGTAAAAGCAAGAATCACTGCATTAAAATAAAGGGAAAACATATGATTTTTCTAATTTCTTTGCATTACAAGATAAAAAATAGTTGTGGAATGGGTCACACTAAATACAATAAAATTAGTTAAGTTTGTAACAAGTGCAGCCTAAGAATACTCAAAGCAGATTATCAAAGCGTCACTGCAATATATTCCAGCTTTCTCATCATCAATGCTTCTATCAATTATTGGATTTGTAATCCTCCATCTTCTCTTCTATATCCTCATTCATGCGCTACATCGTCAAGATATATTACTTCATAATTTGAAGTTTTTGCACTTATGTTTGTTCTAACTTATTTTTTTCCAGTGCATATCTTTATTTTTCCAGCTCTCAATACTCATTTGAAATCACTCCGCGTCACATTACTTTCCAGTGCAAATCTTTATTTTTCTAACTCTCAATACTCATTTGAAATCACTTCACATCACATTTTCTCACCGAAAACTAAATCATCTTCATTATTTGATGTATCTGTGCGCATCTTACTAATAAAACCATTATACTTAATACAATGAAATTAAGAGCAGCATACACCTAGGAGATGTGATCATGCTATCCCTTACAACTCAAATTTTCAGTAAACACACATATTTTCAGTAAAAACACTGTAGAAACATCTCTGATGATTCCTAGATCTCTCTTTTTGAAATTTGATGCAATCATAGCATCAACATTTCTTAAAATTTGACACATTCTTGGCATCAATATCTGTCACTTAAAGAATTGATCGTATCACTTTAAAGCTAGCTATCTTGGAAATCACCTGGATGCCAAGGTGGAATTGGCCTAGTTTGAGTGTACAAGGCTCTAGGGACTCAATTCCTCAACATCCTTTAAATTCCTTTAAAGTTCATAGCATTGGCTCCTTCTCAATGTTCTCTACATTCATCTTCTTAATTCTACCTTAAGGTGCAAATACAACCTAAAATGATGAAAAGTGAGGAATAGCACGTGCCAATATCAAGTAATTTTGATAAGGCATACAATAATAATGAAATTAAAGCACTCAATTGTTCTTCTATTATAAGGTAATTACTTCCGTCCTCAGTATCCAATACAAACTTCAATAGGTATCATAACAAATTGCTCATGAATGCATAAAAAGTTTATATATCAAATTAAAACCTATAGTAAGTTAACAAAACAATCAATTTCACAGATAAACATGCAAGTCACTAAATTGTGGACCCAATAAATCTCTAAGAAAACAAAGCAAGCATCAAAAACCTCAGTAGAGATGCTAACAGTCCAAATAATATGAAAGAAAGCAATGAATTGGTTTAAATAGGAATTATAAAATGAAACAAAGCAATGACTTAAGTCAAGATGCTAACATTCCACTTGGTTTTTACTCATCATTTGCAAGTCCTTTGGCTATAAAAGCCTGTTAAAAGTACAAATAATAAAAACAATTACAGAAATTAATAAGGCTGAAACTTTGACACACAATAATGGCAATGTTAACAGTGCGAAGGACTCTAGAAAAACAATAATATGCTTGGTGCAAGTTTTTTTAAATAGGAAAAAGAAATTCAGAGAAAATAACTAGAAGAAGGAAAAATAATGCTCTACGGAAAACTTGTTAACATCCACATTCACCTAATAGCACCCCAGGATACCTAGAAGACACAGAAAGTAGCAATGAACTGTGATGATAATATAAGCTTGGAGGCACTTCCAACATCTAAGAACCTTAATTTAATTAAATGAGCACTTTAAAGAATGGAAAAAAAAAATCACCAATATCTGCTAGGTTCCATAAATCAGGGCTCCAAAACATACAAATTTAAATTTTAATTCCATCATCCAAAATTTCCCCTCTCTCAAGCTAACAAATAAGGATTCAAGCCATTCACCACTTTCAGAAGGCAATGGCAAATCATTATTGAACAAACATAAACAACAAGTTTAAAATAGGTTTTTCTAACTTTCTCTAGTTTCTCCAGGCCACCAATATAGACTAATCGATCCCTATATGCCATGCATAGAACAACTTTTCAAAGTGTATAATGAAGAAGGTTAAAAAGTATCAATCACACATCAGTATCCAGGAATTTCTGAGTTTTACTCCGCATCCCCACCAAAAACGCATCATCAGCATATCATTCATCAATTTGACATCCCCAAATGATCCCACAAGTTCCTCCAAAGATAACCAAACTTAATATAAAGTAATCGAAATATCACCAATTAACAAAGAAAATAAAATGCAATGAGTACCTTCACTATCTGGACAGATAAAGAGCCCTTGATCGCTTACCCGAACCAATTCCTCTAAAATTATCAGATCCCTTCTGCAAACATGAAAACAACAACAAAAAAATAAAAAATAAAAAAACTAAACTTAAGAAACTAAAACACCTAATCACGTGAAAAAATATCAATTCCTCCAAAGAAAGCAACAAAATAGCATAGGAAATTAAAATATGAAAACCAAAAGCAAAACAGTAACGCGACGAAAAACCTCGAAAACGGAGAAACGAATCCGCACTACCGCCTACAGATGCAAGCGATCAACGGCCAAAATCAGAGACGAAATCAGCGATTTCTTCTGAAACCGCTGATTTCGCCAAGGCCGAACGAGGAGAGAGAAGTAAGCTCCACAAAGGGCAACAGGAGATGAAGAACACAGAAGAAACAGAAGATCATGGATTCTGGGAATAATTCGGACAAAAAAGTTTAATTCATCGGATAAACAGGAAGGGGCCGACTCATGGTGAGGAGCACCGCACCTTTAACGGACAGCCAAGATTGAGTGATCGATCGTGCTGGCCCGGCCCACGATTCAACTAATAAAAACTGGCCTTCGAGTATTTAAGACAAGCGGGCCGCAGGCCGCGGGCCTTCGGCGGCTTGTCTAATGCTCTCAATTGAGGTGAACGAGGATAGGGCTCAAATATTAAATGTTCAGCTCGACTCGAGCATATATTCAATGCTTGTATTTAATTCGTTGATTTATTGAGTTAAATGGGAGTTACATTCTTTAAAAGCATTATAATTATATACATATATAGACTAAAAATTAACTTATGGTCAACCACAAAACTTGATGTGATATTTATAATTGAAATTTTTAAGAGATTATTTTCTTAAATTTTGTATGCTCACAATTATAGAAAATGTTGTGTGGTAAGGAAAGCTAGATCCCCATTTTCTACATGTGCGGGAGACCTTCATCAATGCACCACTGTACAACTATTATCGAGCGCCGTCTACACACCTCTACTACCTAAACATTTTTGTTGAATCACTGGTGGTCATTAAATGATTATATTAATGTCGGTTTATCTTATCACCCATCATTTTCATTAGTGTCGATGCATGTTATTACCTAAAAGACATATAAATGTTGTTGACAACAACATTTGTTCTTGTTAACCTTGTTGTTTTATGTTGCTCATAATGTCGTTTTGTGCCATTGCCCAAAAATTAGATGTACTTTGTCAACATCAACTCTAATTTCTAATATCCATGCCATGACTACATTAGATTTTTTCGTTATTGTCTATTCTTTTCAAAATGGGAACATCCAAATATTTAAGTATAGTCAAAAAGTGATTGCCCAAACCAACAGTGACCGAATGATTCTCATTCTAACCAATAGTAGAAGGCTAGTCAGGCAAGCGTGTTCGGGAATGGATAAGAGGGCCGACTCAAGATATCAAAAGATTGAAGAAGGGTCAATGAAGCACTAAAATGAAAGGCCAGCCTTATGGTCAATGAAGCACTAAAATGAGAGGTCGGCCATAAGGCGGACCATAGAAGGCCAACCGCGAGAGATCAGCCAAAGAAGGTCGAACACGAGAAGTCGACTACTAGAGACCACCACAATATGTTGGCCACATAAGGTCGACTACGAGATATCAACCAAAGAAGTATAACAGCAAGAAGTCGACCCAGGAGGTCGAACAAAGAAACTAATGTGTATTAAATATTCATGTTATTTTTATGATATTTTTATTTTTATGTATGTATTATTATCTTTTTCATGGTATTTGTCATAGTATATGCAATGTTAGACGATTAGACAACTTGGGGAGCAAATGAGATAAAACAAACTCAAAATGAGCTGAATTGGACTGAATCGAGTTGAACCGGCGCCTAGGTGCCAATCTTGGGTGCCTCTTCGTCAATCCTAGGTGCTCATTAGAGCTAGTTATGGGCGCCTAGGAGCTCGTAAGCACATGATTTCTGTTAAGGCACCTCTATTCAAATCGTTACGCGTTAAAGGAGATAAAACTTACTGAATATGAAGCATCGAAGGAGAAAAGTAGATTGAAGACCAACAATAGGGAGAAGAAAAATACTTAGGAATAGTCATAGCATTTCAAAGAAAGGGTTTGGAGGAATATTGTGGTGTGAGGGAGTGTGCTCCTGAGTGAAAAAAAGTGTTTTGTGTGAGTATGTATCCATTTCTATACTAAGAAAATTGTATATAACTCAGGAATTTTGTTATAATTTCGTGTCAGTTAGTAGAAAACATCAATCATATTAGTCTTACTTTGTTAAAATTTAATTTTAGAATGAAATTTATTTTGTGTTCAGCTTTGATGAGTATAAATTAAACTTATCTCTCCATTAAATTGGATTTTATGTAAATCAATGAAATTTATTTTATGAGATTGAGTGTAGTTTATTTATCAATTGATAGTTTAAGCTTTTGTTTGTAGTTTGCTTCTGAAGTGGCCACTTAAAATAATAAAATGGGATCTAGTATTACGAGAGTATGCTAGTGGAATAATTATATTAACAAACACTACTATAGGAGATAAGAATATTGTTATTAGGATGGTGCAATCATGTAGGAAAAATTGAAAATACTGGGATTTTTGTATGGTTAAATGAACTTTAGATGCAATATCAAGCCCCTATGCTTTTTTAGAACTTGAAAGAAGCTAAGGAGTATTGTTTTTCCTGGTTATCAACAATTTTTGTTAGAATTCACTTTAGATATATATAATTTACATAGGATCAATTCAAGGGAGGCTTTATATCACTTGCTCAAACTCAAAGATAGATCATAACTTTAAATTATTGCTTAAATTTAGAGTAGTAATATTAAAATACCCAAATATTTGAAACCTTCGGGCTACACTTAAAACTAGTAAATGAGAGTTTTTATGACTTGACAAGTTAACTCATTCTCTAAGGGATCGATATGCAAACTGCAATTTGTATACTACTTGATTGACCTGTATATTTGCATAGTTTCCAGTGCTTACCAGCATTTTGGGAGTATCAAAAGTTTAGCTCCATTGTAAGGGAACGATGTTAAATTTCTAATTGATTTAGTTGAATCGTTAAGGTTTAGACTTGAAAATCATTGTTGTATATTTTCTATATTTTATTTGCTATTTTCAGTGTAGTAATTTTTTTAAGGAAATTGTTCCATTATTCAAGTTTTACTTCTTCTTCAATGAGTTTATCTTGTGTATTATGTTTTCGGCTAGTTTAAGGTCTCTCATTTGCTAGTTCTAGGCTTGCACACATAAGACAGGACTAGTTGAACTTTTGCATTATGACACTAAATTAGAGAGAAAGCTAAAATAAATTAGACAACATAACAAATAAAAGCAAAATTTAGGAGAATGGCATGCTCACCCCGAAAAGAACACCTCAAACCTCTTAGGTGTTAAATCAATCCTTCAGTAGAAGAAATCCATTTGAGTATTAATAGCGCTACCATAGAAGCCACCTAATTTGAACTGAAACTAGTTATCATCCATTTGTACAAAACAATTAATTTAAGGACTAACCACAGAAGGCCCTAATCTCCACTTAGCTAGTTTCTTTGAATTCTATGACACATTTAGGTAAAATTTTATTTCCAATGATGTCATTAGACTAAGTCTTTTCTCTTTCTCATTTAGGTAAAGCCAAAATGTGGCTCAACTCCTTAACTCCGAGATCAATTATCACATGGAACAATTTTGCTTAAAAATTTCTGAATAAATAGTTCCCTCCATCCAAAACAATAAAACTTAAGAATGATATCACATTGTTTACCCAATTAGATGAAGAATCAATGTATTGAGCTTGGAAGAGATTTAAGGAGCTACACAGAAAATATCCCCACAACTCCTTACCATAGTGAATTATAATTCAAACATTTTATAATGAGTTGATGGGTTGTTCAGGAGAATAATAGAAGCAAGAAACTCTGGGTCACTTATGTCAAAATCATTTGAGCACTCATATTATTGATTGAGGAGATTGTTACAAATAATTTTCAAAGGCTTTCCAAATAGAGTCAATCTTAGGAAGGTAACTAGTGTGCATGACATGAATGTGTTAGCAATCCTAATCTCATAAGTGGCTAGTATTTAAAGGAATATATATAACCTAGGCCTTAATCCAATTTAATGATCAGCACCAAGTAATGAAATAGTTTACAGATCAGTAGGAGATTCTTGTACTAAAGTCTTTGGAAATTGTGAATGCCAAGGGAGATAGGTTCAATAACTCGTATTCTAAATACTAGATCCCACACCTAAACTTTAATTGTGATAATAATAACCAAAGTGCAGGAACCCAATAATGGGGTAATAATTTGTTAAGCCAATCCTATAATAATTAGAATAACTTTAGTAGTGGCAACCCTATACTTACCTACCCTATTGGATTCACTTATGATCCCTAATTTAGATAAAAAAATCTTTGGAAGAATTAGAAATAAACATAGGGAATCAAATATAAATTCAAGATGTAGTTATTAGGAACTTCAAAACATAACTTGGGCCAATAGCTGACTCATTATGCAAGAGTCCCAAACAGACATTACCTAGTAATATAGAGGTGAATCCAAAGGACTAGAACTTAGAGCATTGCAATGCTATGAAACTTTAGGTTGTGAAGGTACTTGAGCTACTTAGAGTAAAAAGACTAAAATAAAGGAGCTTGAGTCTGTGTCTGATAGACTTATAGAAAAAGTTACCCCAAACTTTAGAAGAACAACCTTGCAAGCTTGGATAGAACAAGAGAGTCCACAACCACCTTTTTATTCAATGATTAATTAAAAAAATTTAGACCAACAATTTATTAAATTTTTAGAAATTTTTAAGAAGCTTATGATTAAAATTCCATTTGTGGAAGCACTTGACAAATGCCCAGTTATAGGAAAATTATGTAGGATTTTTTGAACAAGAAATGCAAATTTTTAAAATTTCAAAAATTATGGCATCAATTTAAAACTATAATTCTTTAATTTAAGGAAAAATTCCATAAAAATTGAAAGATCTGAGTTGTTTTATCATTCCATAAACTATAGGAGACCATTTTATTGGAAAGACATTATTTGACTCAGAAGATAGAATAAATATAATGTCTTTTGCAGTGTTTGAAATACTAGGATTATGAGAGATTCTACAACTATTGTGAACCTTCAATTATCTGACCATTCTTTAATTTTTTTATGGGGAGTTATAGAAAATATCCTGGTGACAATAGAAAAACTCATCTTCATTGGTAATTTAATTGTGTTAGATATAAAAGAAGAAGATGATGTCCCTATTATTTTTTGTGGTCCTTTTCTTACAATTAGTAGGCTAATATTAACTTACAAAAAAAGGAGTTAACTATTACAACACAAATTGAGGAAGTGACTTTTCAATTTTATAATCTCAGTTCACCCCATACTTATACCCCTAACTAATTTTTAAGAGTAGAAATAAAATACTTGTAAGAT